CCGACCACTATCCAGGTGTTTAAACAAGGTTGATTTCCTTTTTTATCTCAGATCAACTAACTCCGTATGTGCTTGTGCCGTCAGAGGGTCGGGAGAATGCACCTCCCAGATTCGACGATCGGATCGGGTCGCGGTGACAACGCCACCTGGCTGGATAGCATCTAGATTTGGTGGCAGCTGGGTAACAGGGTTTGCATCCGGCAGATCGCGTGATGAGACAATTTGTACAAGAATCGGGCCCTCACCAGGTGCAGCGCAGATGAAGTTTGATTTCAATAGCCCATTGGCTGATGAGGCACCGGTCTGGGAGAGCTGGCATGGACTTTGAATCCACAATGAGCGCCCACTGCCACACAAGCTAGGAGCTGCGAATAACGGGGGTGGCAAGATAGGAAAAATAAGTAGATCCAAGCCTATTCAAATAAAAAATGAGAGAAATTATAATAAAAAGTATTTAAGAGGCATAAAAGTGAGATATGTACAACACTTGTAACCAGGAGCCAAATGTCCAAGTCAAATTTCCACTTAATGCTATTACGAAATGACCTTTTTGGCCAGAGTAAATGGATAGGAAGAGCTGTGAGAACTGACATGATAAAAAAGGTGGAAAGTGAACGCATAAATTTTCATCTTGATCAGCAAATGGCCGTTTCAAAAAAAGCCAGGCAAACAGGATGAGCAAATGGTCCAACAAGTTATAACATTACCCGGTGTTTAAGAAGAGAAATAATTCAACACTTGAAACTCGATCAAGTCCATAAAGCTTTCTTATCCTATCTGGATCGAAGTTGTGAACTCAACTAGGTCTCCCCAGCCCAAATAATTGATCAAAATTGGATCAAGAACAAGGGTTAGTTCTATTGTTCCGCTAAAGCCACATCTGCCAGTGGGTTATAGGATAGAAATGCTTCTGAAGGGAAGTCAAGTCTCTTCCAACTCACATTTACAAAGAGATTGTCAGTAAATAAAATTTATATTTGACACTAGATTCTACCACATTACTATGAAATAAAAATGGTTTTGAAACTATCAGTAGATTAAGTATAAGACCAAAGGCCAAAGTAAGCCGCTTAAGATGATAGAGGACTGATTAATGAAGTTACCGAAGTGAATTTCCATCGGAAAGTGACATTTTGACCTTATCGGTGCATTCAGGAGGATGAGTTATTGAGATAATCTCTTTAATTCTAGTGAAAACGTTTAGAGGACACCTTCGGATTCAGAGTTCGATGAAACCAAGAAGCACAGAGCAAGGGGACTACAGAGTTTCTTTTTGGTGAGATCGACCTACAAATCACTTCATTACATAATAAATGAATGTCAGAGAGAGAAAGTTGCTCCCATATCTTAAATAGTAGTCAATCGCTAATTAAACTTAGCAACTAAAAACGAAAAAGACAAACGGACCAACGATAAAATATGCCTATTTAACGATTGTTAGTCTACATATCTTCAAACTACTAATAAAGGCTTAATTAGATAGACTGACTAAACACTGGACTTTAGTTGCATTTGGGGAACATATTTGGTGAAAATTAAAGTAATGTTAAATAGCTCCATGTTATTATTATGTCATAACATCTAGCTATAAGCATAATAACTTACCAACTATTCGTCCGTCTGAGGATTTTAAATTTCCTCCATCCTCTGGCAGTTGCCACGATGGGTTCGGTTCCCCCGCTGTGCCAGCAATGAGGTTGTCGTTTGTTCCAGCCACAGTTTCTGAGTGCAGCCAATCCTCTTCTGGGAATAATCGGTGTCGACGACGTTTGCGCTGTTTGGTAGCCTGGTTAACTGTATTTTCTTCAGTCAATGGCTCTGTAGAATCCTTTGCAATTAAATCCTATTAGTTAAGATCATTAGTATGTATGAAAATATATAATTAAAACAGACTGTTAAGCACTAATTTTGGCATATAATAATGTTAAAAGCGATAAAGGAAATGAAAATACGACAGTTAAAAATAGTTTTAATGAACTACTATCGGATTTAAACAATGGCTGGACAACACCCAAGCCCTAATTATATATATAGTCGTATGCTACTCGAATTGAACATCAAGTAATACAATTAATCGGTTATATTTAAATTAAAGTGAAAATTTCAATCATATCGGGTTGATAATAAATATTAATTCGACTGAAACTATCACTGCCCAGGCCATTGTAAGAAACACAATGTAGTGCTGCAAGACGCTGAGCTAAAATATAAAGTTATGGTGAAAATTGTAGTTTATAAATTCATCCAAAAGCGGATAATCAAGGGTTCTAAATAATTATCGAGGGTTAATGGCAAGAAATATTATAATAAGGAATTAATTTAAAGGGAAAGAACACCAAGCAACTCTTATAAGTTGTAGGAACCCACCTAACGGTAGTGAGTTAGGTTTTAATCATAAAGGACTATAATACAACTATGGGTAGAAATACAAAAAAATAGTACATGGTGTATTTTATGGCTTCTTAACAGATGAAAAACGGAAAGAAACATTTTTTATTTTGAAAAAAAAGTAACTCTGGTCGGTTAGCCTTTTAAATTAATGATAATCAGCTTGAATAGGATGAATTGAATAGATTTTTTGCTTTTGCATAAAATTTCGCTGTAATGTGGTTTAGATCTAAATTCTCATTCATGATTCATTAGTGTTGACTACGCATAAGTCAAAACACTTTTGAGAAATTAAATGAAAAAGGTTTCCCTTCTAAAGATCCATTACCAGAAATATACCGCTTTAATAATTATTTGCGTTGATCTATTATCTAAGAGCGCAAGCTTAAATAGTAGAATATGTAATGCTATTGATATATATGAAAAGAATGGATATAGAAAAACAAATGTGATCGTTGTCTTTTTCTAGTTATAGATTTAGGCCCATCAGATGCGCTTTCTATACGCGGACTTGGGACTTAATTCTCTAAACAATATAAAATAAGTAAGCCACCTAGATTTTTCATTTATTAGTATGCTTGTGAGACTAACAGTAGAACATATACATGAGATGTATTCATTCCATTTGGTTCAGATAATGAAGAAATGGTAATAGAATTTTCCCATAATAATACGAGTAGGCTTTTCTATTGAGTTTCACATAGCCTTGCGTCCCAAAAGCTATTATCATCCAGGGTGGACATCAGTTTCGATCTCACCTAAGCCTCACCAGTACACTCAACCAGACGCAGACCCTGGAAGTGCAGAGTATAGTCTCGATGTGTTAGTCTCTAGGTCAAATCGTCACCTTAACGAAATAGGCCAAAAATAACTTATATATATGATCTAATGGTAGTATCGAAAACCTATTTATAAATGAATAATACGTAATTTAGATCAAGATATGGCCTCTATTTTGGTCGAAGTCTTCTATAGATATATGGAAGTGGTCTGACCTCGTTTGCGCAATTTGGTTGTGTTGTTAGGGCGACTTAGATGGACTCACCTTGTCCGAAGTCCTCTGCTATAGTAGTTAACCTAATTCTCTTCGTCGGACCGTCGACTTGAAACATTAACAGACGTTTAACCGGGATCCTTAGTGAGTCTTGCCAGTCTCAGCACGAAGCTACAACTTGTCAGAGACAAGTGAATTCAACCCCTTGACCAACATTCTGCTGAAAAGGTTATGCTATCACTCCTCTTTCTACCCTTCCCCATCAATATACTACCTACACTCTTGTCTTACTCTCACGCTATCACAATTTCTGACATCTATGTTTAACTCATCCAGAGATGTGTACTTTGTTGGCGAGTTTACAGTATATTCACAAAACCTGCTGTTTGGCTTGCCCTCCTCCCCTTCGAATGGCTGATCCGATTCGGACCTCTTTTCCGGATCTGCCTCATGAGCCCATAGATCCGTTTCTTATCTTTCTGGTCGACAGATTTCACTCGGTTTCAGCCATAATCAACGCTTTACTCCAGGCAAAGTTATCGCTAATTCTGTTTCTTCCAATCTCCTGTTCATTACATTTTTTCCCGAGGATGTCAATGGCCTCCATAATATTCCGTTTAATTGTGATTTCACCGTATAAGGCCATTCTTTCTTTTGCCTTCCAATGGACCTCGAGTCCAGTCTGTGCAAAGTGTTTCGCTATTTCTGATCTTCCAGTATTCATTTTCCCGCAGACCCTTTGATGTTCCTTGATTTGTATGTTGATTTTTCTCCGTTTCGTCAATATATTTCCGTTTGCAAACTCCGCTATCCAG